AAGTACACCATAGTTAGGGTACCCAGGGTCCACCACTACATGTATATAAGCACATGAGGATCTAAGGGAAGACCTTAGATTCATTCAACTATTGTATGCGGCCAGCAGGCCAGCTCCCCCCTTTCACCTTTTGTGCAAGGCCATGCATTGGAGCTTTGCCTTGATTGCTGATTGTATGTCACTGTGCGTGTCCTCAGCCTAGCCCTTGTGGCAGGCTTTTCCAGGTTAGCCTTAGGGCAACCTTTTTATGTGGATCATTTGTGCAGGTCACACAAGCAGACTTGCCCTTAATTGGGTTAAGTGCTTTGTGCTTTGTGACAGGACCATATAGCAGTGAGATGATCAGTGAAATGAAATTCGACTTGCCAGGAGGTGGTCGCTCGCTCACGCATCCAGTACCTGGTCAACGTTAAGGTGGGTAGGACACTATTGGATAGGGACATGCCTGCCTTAGCAAGACGGTCTGCCACTTCATTTCCCAGTACATCCCTGTGCCCAGGTACCCAAAGCAAAGAAAGTTGTAAATGAGGATGGCACTCCATGATGGGAGCAAGAAGTGCCCAAAAGTGAATAAAAAAAGGCTGGCTGTTATGCGGGCTCAGTGACAGAATGTTGGAAAGGGTGGCACGGTTGTCTGCACAGAGGTATATGTGCATGATCATGGGGTAGGACACCAGAAAACTGACAAAGCGGCTGATGACCGCTGCTATAGTGCAGAGTTTGGCATCGTGAACCTCTGCCTGGTGGCCCAAGCCCCAGGCCCACTCATACTTGACCACACCCTGATGAATGATGCATGCACCTGCACCTGCTCTCCAGTTTTTAGAGGCTGCATCAGGTTGGGCAACTTGAGAGCCATCAGTGAACACCCACAGGGCATGAGGGGAAGAAATAGATGAGTGCATAGTGGAATAGAAAAAAGTACAGAGATAGTCAGCTGAATCATCCTTGGTGGGTGACGGTGATGCGTCTGTGGTGCTCCTGGCCTCGTGCTACTCCAACACTAATCTGGGGTCCACTTGTGTGGGGTGTATGTGGGAGATGACTTTGGCGAGGGTTTGCTGTGAGCTGGTTTAGTTTCTTGAAGCTACTGGCAATAGGGATGGTAATTGAATTGGTAATGAACTGGGATAGCATGCAGATGTGGCCAATAATCACTAGATCAGCAAATGACGGTGTGGGCAGCCAATATTGAGCCTTGAAAAAGGAATCAGGGTTGTGTGGGAAGAAAAGGCTGTATTTGGAAAGGGCTCCAAGCGTGGGACCATCAGACTTGATCGCAAATGTGTTTTGATCGCAGCGAGGTGGAGCAGAGCTGATCATATGTGGAATGCTGATCAGAGGCAGGCGGAGAAGCCCGACTAAGTCTGATGTGTGAAGATACTTGGGATGAAACCACTGTCTGAGGCTAGAAATGGCCTGGAGCTGATCGGGAATGCAATATTGTCACAAGAAGGCAGGTCGGACCTGATCGTATATGCATTTCTGATCGGAGGACGTCAGAGCACTGATGTCTAAGTCAATAAGAGTGAGACCTCAGATAGGTTCTGAGGAGTCCTGGAAACGTAGGGCTGAAAGGGGTAACATAGCGTGGGAGTGTGATGGGATATCTTCAGTTGCTAGGTGGGCTGGGCCTGATGATGTAATGATGATGAAGTGTGCTGGAATTGGAGCTGAGACTTAGCTGAAACTGCGAAAATGTGCCTAGTGACCATAGTTAAGGCAAGAGAAACAAGCTGCTGGCTGAGAGATGAAGTGCTGAGACATAAACTGTGAGCTAGGAGACTCGAGCTCCTCCCAATTTGATTGTTTTGGTATGTACATGTGATAGGCTTACATATATACCTCCCTAGCAGGCCACTGCTGAGAGTTTGCCTGCTTGGGTGATTAAACTAAGTATAGTAAGAGAAAGACTGAAACGAGTAAGACATCAGCTGAAACTTGTGACATAGTTGTGTTCCTGTTTGAGATACCGGATCTGACCATTAACCTGCATCAAACACGTTTCACTCATGTTGGCTTGGCTGGGCAGCCTTCGCACATCTTTGCCATGATGGCAGTACTTTGCCCCGGTCTTTTGGGTGTGTACTGCCTGATGCCGTTGCCACCACTAAGTTTGCCGAGCCCTTCTGGAGTTCAGAAGCATCGGTGCAGCTCCAGGATGGGAGAGCCTTTCCACAGCACTTCATTTTCACTGCTTTGTGGTAAATGACTCCTGCAGTGGCAATAGTACCGACCAGTTCATCACCTTGCTGGCATAACTTTGCCAAAATTGGGGTCCTCCTTGTGCTTCTGTTGGTCAGCCATTCTCGCTGCGCATCAGCAGGATGCAGATCTGAACCCTTGCACCCCAGGGATGTGCAGGTTTCCAAGAGGGTTGCAGTCATGGATCAAGGTGCATGGCCTGTTCAGGGAGTGCTTCCTCGAGTATGTCGACTGCACTAGTGCCATAGTGAACTGACATGGCAGGGTTGAGGAGTGAGAAGTTTGGTGGGTAAATGGCACAATTTGCTGCCAGGCACTGGATTACTGGGTGAGACATGAGGAGGGTGAGGAGGTGGGCAGCTGTGAGGCCATTGAGCTTGTCAAGCTGTTGCCGCAGTGGTAGGATGCTCGAAATGAGATTGAGGACGTGATGGGGTGTGGACCTCCAGGCACCCATGAACCACCTGAGCACATCATTTTGTACCCTTTCCAGGGGCTTAAAAAGGTGGTGTGGTCCCCGTGGGTTGTACCACATGGGGCTACCAAATGTGAGTATGGGAAGTACAGTGGTTAGGTAAAGTAAGCAGGC